CGTCCTCGAAAGCGCAATGTTACTTAACTCGAACTATATTCGGTTAGCCTATGGAGCCGACCCGCCATGTTATATGACTCCAACTATATTCCAACAGCCGATGGTTTCGTGATATGTGATTCCGATGGTACGGAGACCAATGATTACACAACAGTGATAAGGGAGATAGAGGGCATCTTATCACTAGTTCGACTTTCGCCCCGTGATAACACCAGTAATCTTCCGGCTAGCTGCATCCATCTCAAACATCTAACTTTCAGAATACAAAATTCAACAATTATTTCATTCTAAGCTCCAGCAGCTTATGGACTTGAGCACCAAAGTCATAGTTACCTCAAATAATCGTTAGTACGGTAATGTTTAACAATTAGCAGAACATAAAAAATGAAAATTTGGATTTTTGTTTACAAATTAAAATTTATTTTTGATAAGGAACGCTTATTGATATTAATTACTCACCAAAATGCGCGGTTCAAGGTGTTTTTACATTATGAACAACGAATGTATACTAACTTATGTGAAAGCTTTGATTTTGAATACCAGCAAACAAACATTTAAACCTGGGTCACAGGTAAAAGCCCCTATGGTTATTGTAAGCTAGGTTTGGTTTCGAAACTTATCCATGAATGTATTTATGTTTTAGTTTATAGGCCTACTATTATATTCCATGCAGTTACATGTACAAATTTTCGCGACTTAACATGATCACGTTATTAAGACAGACGTACGTATTATAAGCTTGGAGACGACCTGTGTAGCTTGTAACTAGGAGCACAGACAATATAATACTTTAATGTTTCTGTTGTTTAAGGTTTCTGTTGTATGTGCTAGGAGTGTCTATTTAGCTAGAATCATAGATCACACTGATGATTAAGGCCAGTCGGGTCTAGTGTCAAACCATCACAAAAATTACCGGCTCTTCTCAGAATCGAACCAGGGACCTTCTGACTTTCAGGTGAGCACTATAACCACATAACCCAACCACATCATTATATAACTCTTCCAATATAAACATTAGTAACAATAGTTACTACAATCAATGATACTTGGAAGACACAGAACACAAGGAAAATAGAGAAACTAGATAACTGAAGATAAAATAAAGCCTCACAGGAGAGTACAAGGATGAACCGGATCCCCGGGTGAAAAGCTTCTATCCGGTGACATTAATCCGTAGTACACGTACCGGATCACCCGACCATCCGATGTCCAATATAAACACACGTATGTTCCTAACGAGGATACAATACATCCAATATGGAAACACTACACGACTTGAACCTATTCCAACTGTGGATGAATGTTTCTAATTGAAACTATTTAGAAATCCTCGAAATTCAAGAGGAGTTAGTTATGAATAGGTTAGAACCTGGCTTAAACTTAGACAATGAGTCATATACGATTGTCTTTTATGTGATTATCAGGTAGATAATCACTGTGACTCTACTAGATAAAGCAGCACTAACTTGGGTAAACAGGCTCAAATGAGTTTTACAACAGGACCAATGTTTACTTACGAGGTGTAATTTAAAAATACTATTTATATGTGCGTCAATGACTCAATTGGCTGTGTGACGAACTATGAAACCAAAATGTTGTGGGGCTGCTTCCCGGTAGTAATTTGTATTTATTACTACAGATAAATCTTATACAGTACAGACCTTGAGATACATGTGGATTGACAAAACGACAGTAGCTATAGGCCGATAACATATTTCTTTATACAGTAACTAGAGAATTGGCGCGCATCACATTCAAAGTTGTAACGGCGGCAGCGATGCAATATGGCTACTTGCGAGTTGTGCGGGTTGCTTATCGCGCCTGCCGCCCTTTACAACTGCCAAAGACTGGCCATTTTTAAAATCATTATATCGTAACTTTGCTTTCTTAAATTAACCATTGAGTACAAAAAGGACAACATTAAAATTACATTTTCTAGTCTAAAAGAATTTCTCCCCCTTTTAACAACACAAGCTGTTTTTGATGTTTAGTGGTAAACTTCATTTGAGTGTTTTTTATGCACAATTCTTTCCACGACAGTTAAATTTTAATCAATCGTCTTTCCAGTCGATGTTCGCCTGTTTTGTTGTAGTTTGTTTAAAATATAGAGACTATATATATTTTTTTTCACAGCTTAAATAAGAAGCCCTGAATGTATTATGTTAACAAAAACATGCTATTCATATTATTTGCTATAATAAGTGCGATTTCCTTAAAGATATATTTAAAACTGCAAAGTTGCAAGGGACAATCCCAAGTTAAATTCTCAAAAGTATTTAAAACAATTCTAGCGATTGTTATAATCATACAAAACACCTCATGAGTGTTTAAAGGATAATAGAGCAATGTGAAACATTCACATGGTGCAATCATTTTACGAACAAAAAAAATAATGGATAAACATAATTTACAATATTTTAAACAGTATTCGTTTTTGAAATAAGTAACTAATTTAACCCAAAAAGAAACGGTTAAACAATATTTCACTATTAAATAAGAACAGTAGCTTTAACGGTGCCTTTCAAAGGATATACATATTTTACAATATATCATACAATATTGTAAACTAGTTTCCTTAGCCTAGTATTTGAAAAAAGAAATAATTTCATCCAATAACTAAGCGGTTAAAACACCATTTAACGATTATAACCAGTTGGCGCTGTTCTACTATTGGCGATTACAATTAGAGTCGACGGTGCCTTGCAAAAATAAAATATATCTTCGAAGCTGCTACAAAACAGTTTGTGTTAACAATGTTAAGAACTGCATACATTTTATTTATTGAATTGTAACATTGTTGGTGTAATGACAACAATACAATTGTTGCCGAAAGGAGTTCCCACCTTTTTCCAAAATAGGCAAGCAAATGATCTAGTAGTTATAGTTTTTTTCCCAAATGGTAAATATCAATTACATTACAGTTCAAACATAACTAATATTGAGAGGCTGCAAATTTCCATACAGCTGGGCGTTACAATCGGCAGTTTTTTGTGCAGATAATTTAAAATCAGGTTTAGTTTGACGAATGCTTACTTTTAAGATTTTTTAGCAATCCATAACAAGCACAAACAAATGTCCCTTATATCAGTGAAATACATGGGTTTCCAAACTTGTTTAAAACAATTTACATCCTAAAAAGTGTAGTAATAAAAAAATAGTCAGTCTTTGATTTTACAACCCTCCCCACTACCCTACAGAGAATCTCACATATCAACGAAAAATAAAGCTATTAGAAGCCGATAACACGGGTAGATACAGCTGAGGTAAAATGACACCGACATACCAGAGATACAGCCGCAGACAGCTGATTAACCATCTTCCCATCAGGCATCAGCTGATTAATTGACTCATTCCCCGGACACGAACACGCAACTAGTGTTAATAGTGATAATTACTGTGTACGACTTTTCAATAATCCGACCAGTTTTACCTGTTAATTTACATCTGAGTAATGCATGCATTAGCGTGGTATTCGCTCTCATATAAATTGCCACTATAAGTGTATAAGTGCAAATAGCGGTATCTGCTAGATAGCCAAGGTGTTAATGTTTTGTTTTACTTTGTGGCTACATTAGTCGTGAATTGTTTAAGTTGATTTGATGAATCTCACCATGCATTTCACATTTTGTGTTGGGAGTTGATAAAATGACTATACGGGAGTGAAAATGTAGGTACCTATATCATAGCGTTAGAAAAGTCACCTACTAGTTTTAATAATTTTGTATTTTTAGAATGGCAAACATGCAAGCGGACTCTAAAACTACGCATTATGAATAGTGAGGGTATTTAAAACTTCTATTAAACTTCCTTGAACCCTTTAGCAGTTTGTCTTTCAAAACCCAGTACTACAGTATCACGTTTCACTGATTATTGGATGGATAGGCCTACCAGAATTGACTATTGGAAACTGAACTCATATTGAATCAATAACGAGTGCAACAATAACAATAGCAACATAAAACAAAAACAGCTGATTGTAATGAATATTAGTTATCCTGTTTGCAGGCTTAATCATGTGCGAAATAACTTGAAAATCATCATAATATTATCATATTATCTACTTCTAATTTTTACTAAATCAGAAGTTGAATCATTATTACAACTGCAATAGAAATGTTTTTGGAAATATTAAGTTAAAGCCAATACACATTGAGTTAAAATACAGTATATTTTTTTACCCATTAAATAACAATATATGTTTTCACACAACAACAAACTACCCATAGTTTTAAGACACACTCGTAAACCCGAATTTACATTTTAATTTTTAACTTAGGAACCAAGAGCGATATGCGCATTACATTGTTCACGTTCATTTACCACATATTCCGAGTACTTAACTGCCACATAATAGCCTATCTATGTTAAAACAATGGATTCTGGCTGATAAAATATTTCAAACTTATCATCACTGTAAATGTTATCTTATCGCTCGAGAGTATTATCTGATAAAACGTGGCTTCGAGGGCTGAGTATCTGTGGAAATTTTAACACGCTTTACAATAAAATATGTTTGATTTTACTAAAATTTGTAGCAACTCGAGTGACAACATTGTACAGGATTTGTACAATTGGCCTGGTTGGGAAAATATACACCTTAAAATATACACGATGCATTGACACACATCATAGAAGGCTTAGACGAAGTTACAGTGAAGAAAGTTGTGAAAATGTGCTTTAACCAAATTACAATTGAGCTCATGAGATTCAAAATAAGATTATACATTCAGTTGGGACCGTTTCAACCAATTACGACGGGATGAATGATTTGTTTGCTTGTTTCAACAGTTTCTGTTACTTGCACTTATCGTTTCCAACGCGTAGCAATACCGCAAACAAACATTCCAGACAATACACCATCCTCAGACATTCTTCACTTACGTAAAGCGACTTGAAGTCGTTAGCGTAAGTAGCTGAAGATAGTGTTTATCTCTTACCTATCAAAGCCCATTAACCGGTGAGATAAGTGTTCATAAACACACCAAAGTACAAACACTGACCTTTTAGTGGTTTAGGGTTGCTCTGCTTCCTCCTCGACATTCTACCGCATCACCTCAATGGCAGATCAGCTGATTAGCACATGTTACAACTTTTAGGTTATGTTTGACGTATCTCGACACGACACTGACTGTAGCACCTCACAGCACGAGCGCGCAAAAGCGACTGGACTGAGCCGGTCTCCGCGCCTCCTCCCCCACCCTGCCTGCAGATAACCATCCGGCGCTATCTATCTACATCGGTAATCACTCAATTGGAAGTGCCAGGTCGTAAATCATTAAAAATTGATAACTCCTAGAGATACCGAGGACACGGGGAGTTGGGTTACTTTTCGTGGGCGTTTACTCAAAACGGAGTTACTCCGAGGACATTAATATTGCCTCATTGGCTGACATTTCCAACTGGGCATTTCGACACGGGTGACCGCGGGCCGCGGGCTGTGGTGCTGGACTAGGTGCTGAAGACTAGGTGAGACTGGTGAGAGGCCAGATTGGTTCAAGTAGAATGGTAATGGTCGCAGCTCTTGCAGATACTCGCAGATATTCGCATTTCCATACCATGTTCAGTAAGTGTCTATCTATACCTAGTGAACGGAGTGTTAACAGACTTGGTGATGCCTAGTACGGTTTGGCTACAAATTATACGAACAGGAAAAGTTTCAAGGGACATATGCGCTCCAAGTTATAACTTTCTGTTTGAAAAACTTCACCTTAGTGTTCCAAAGTGTATATGGACTCGTTGGGTAGCTGAGAGGTTAAAGTGCTTGAGTAACGAAAAAAATTTCGCATATTCGATCCTGAGAGAAGGCCTGAGAGGGCTTTTTGATGGTTTGAAACTGGACCCAGCTGAGCCTGATCATTGGGCTTTAAATGAATGATCCTGACTGATGAACCAGCTAAACTAAGTAACAAAGCTACACAGATCCTTTAACAGTCCTACACTCATCCTTCGCTCATTTTTGGGTTAATACGGACCTAGACGTCGGCCCCATTAAAAATATGAAAATTGATTATTGAATTAAGTTTTAATCAACCTCCCATAACAATTTTTATCACGTTTGTTCAATTAGTTTATTTGTCGCCTTTATTGTTTTAGTTGTTATTATAGTATATATCACCTATGATACAACACTGCCTTTTAAATGAATTTTTCAATTTTAATAGGTTTAGAATAAAATTAAAAAAGTTACGTAAATTTTCAGTTTTACACATAATTAAAGACACGGACAAAAGAAGAAGAAACTAAGACGCTGTCGCCAAACTATAAAGTGTATTAATTATGGTAGATAAAAAAACATTATTCTCCCACATATGAAGAAGAGTGCATGTCATTATAAAGGGTGTACTTTATGTAGTAATTATATTTCACAAAACAATGTGAGGAACTAAATTTGAAATTCATAAAAGAGACCTTAAGGGTGCCCGCAGTTGAGGGGGGAATAATGGAGGCAATGAGCACACGTGAGAAAAGTTAAGTTTCATTAATCCACTTTTCTCTGTAAGGGTTTAAACAGACTGTAGCATTAAATAATTAAGTTATAAACATTTAAAAAAATTAAGCTTTTTTATGATGTCTTTAACGTTTCACAATCACTAGTTTGTAAAAGAGGACATTTTCCTCCGACCTCCGGAACAAGCTACCACAGTGGTTTTTCCCGAAGAAAAATTCTACACGCGCCCATGGAGATCTTTATTCAATATTGAGTTGAGTTGCAATGTCTGTACTATTGCGTCTGTCGCTTTTGTTCCGCGGTTGAAGGCTAATTTCTTCACATCACTTTTGTTCCGGGGGTCATCACATCAGGTTGATTTTGGGGCCGGCCGAAACATCGTTTTTGTTCCGCGGACATCTCTCTTGTTCAGCGAGAGAGATGGCTGCACTCTCCCTCCCCAAAATCCTCTCTTTCGATCTCCTCCTAATTCTTATTTTCATAGGTAAGGTTAGGTTAGGTTATTATTGATATTTTTGTTAAGGAGAAAATGATAATTTAACGAGTTTTTAAGCCCGCATGAAAGAAAGAATTAGGAGGAGGGCGAAAGAGAGTCTTAGGGGGATGGAGAGTACAGCCCCCTCTCTCGCGGAACAAGACAGATATCCGTGGAACAAAAGCAAATTTCGGCCGGTCGCGAAATCTACCTGCTGACCCCAGGAACAAAAGTGATGTAAAGAAATTAGCCTTCAACCGCGGTACAAAAGTGATACAGCCGTACTATTTGAAGTGCGCATTACGGTTACGAAGCGAAGGAGTGTTTCATTTTTGTTGGCGGCTGACAGTTGCACGACATTGTAACCTCGCCCAGTCGGTTTTTTCAATCAGCATAATCAACTTGACCATTCGGTTGGTAAAAAGTCTTTGGACTCATCATGTCCTGTGTAGAAAGGTTTTACGAACTACTTTGTACACTATTCGCCATACTATTTCCACCTCGCAGTTTACAGGTGTGCATCACGAGCGTGTCAGGTCTAATGAGGTAAGTCAACCAGTCAACAGTCAAAACAGCGACAACACGTGACAGTGAGTGACACACGCGCCGCTCCCATTGGCCCCCGCGCGACCAATCAGATCTCACGATTCGCAAGCCCTGATTTAATTCCTTGTTACGCAAATTTATAGACGGCGAAGACGCACGAACAAATGGTTTACACGGCATGACGCTGGTGTCGGAGATAGGTTGCCATGGAGACGGTGATGCTAGGAAGTGTCAGGGATATGTAGCGCGATTGGTGATTTGGTGTGCAGTTTCAATCTTTTGTGTTGAATGTTTTTCAATTAATTATATATAAACAATAATCGATGGATGAGATGCCCATGGTCTAGAGTCTTCCCATTCCCTTTAATCAAGGCGTGGAAATAGGGTTTCCCAAACAAAACAGATTTTCAGTGGAAACCGCCTGTCAATTTCATTAAACCCATTGAAGGGAGTTTACAGTGAAGTGGCATCCTCAGGCGCAAAGTACTCAGTGGGCAATTACACCAGCCGCTAAAGCTTGCGAATGAAAATTCTTTGTCTCCACACTACCCAGTAAGCAGCTTGTTTCTGCTCAGTGATCACTCTGGATGTTCCTGGTCTCCTCAATGGATTCGCAATCGCGACCTCAAACACAAGCAGCAGGTGGTCACCCGCGATGTCTGATGCGTCTCAACCCGACGTGGTTAGTCGCGAAGAGCCACAAGGCACCATTATGCCACAAGGAACTTCTATGCCACGAGGCACCAATATGCCACAAGGAACTCCTATGCCACAAGGAACTTCTATGCCACAAGGAACCTCTATGCCACAAGAAATGTCTATGCCACAAGGAACCTCTATGCCACAAGGAACTTTTATGCCACAAGAAATGTCTATGCCACAAGGAACCTCTATGCCTCAAGGAGACGCTATGCCACAAGGAACCTCTATGCCTCAAGTAGACTCTATGCCACAAGGACCCGCTTTGCCTCAAGGAGACTCTATGCCGCCACAAGGAAGCTCTATGCCTCAAGGAGACGCTATGCCACAAGGAACCTCTATGCCTCAAGGGGACTCCATGCCACAAGGAACCTCTATGCCTCAAGGAGACTCTATGCCGCCACAAGGAACCTCTATGCCTCAAGGAGACTCCATGCCACAAGGAACCTCTATGCCTCAAGGAGACTCTATGCCACAAGGAACCTCTATGCCTCAAGGAGACTCTATGCCACAAGGAACCCCTATGCCTCAAGGATACTCTATGCCACAAGGAGACTCTATGCCTCAAGGAGACTCTATGCCACAAGGAACCTTTTATGCCTCAAGGAGACTATGCCACAAGGAGACTCTATGCCACAAGGAACCTCTATGCCTCAAGGAGACTCTATACCACAAGGAACCTCTATGCCCCAAGGAACCACTATGCCTCAAGGAACCTCTATGCCTCAAGGAGACTCTATGCCACAAGGAACCTCTATGCCTCAAGGAGACTCTTCATCAGCTGTTTCCTCGTCCATTAACAGTTTCTTATCTTAGAACTCGCGACGCCCTCAACTCCTTCTTGTAGATAGGCATAGAGTTAAGACAGACTATTGAGCGCTCTACTCTTCATCTCCATATCCTCCCTATTGTTGGGTTTCGATTAGATTTAATAATAAATGTTAATGTTTGTTTCTTTAGTTTAGCTGTGTTATATATTTTTGTATCTAATTTTGAACGGTTTTCAGTAATCTGTCTAATATAGGATGCGATTTCAAGTCTACTGATATTCGGGCCCGCTACTAATGGTAGTTCTACCAACTAATTCCTTACCTGTTGTCATAGCTCGTTGACAGGGTCCTCTCCTTTTCCTGAAGGCCCAGACGAAGCTGCATCTCCAAGTCGCCTTTGCCTCCCATCACCCATCACCTTGCCTGAAAAGACATTGAGGCGTAAAATTCTATACAGTTACCTACAAAACAAAGCTCCAATCTGTACATTCAATAAAACACACAAATTAGGCAATTCTCGCGTTTTTCACTTTTCAGTAGTTTTTTTTTATTTCCCACACAGCGGACTTTCAACCCAAAACCTCACAAATGAACAATTAACATCAAACATCGTGTACGCGTTAAACGAGTTTGCAACACTGACTGTATATAGTCTATAGACCAGCTGTTGAATTGTCCACAGCACAGACTACAGTTGATTCCTAAAATCGTTTGGTGGTTAAAAGAATGGTTAGGGTTTTAGTCAAATTGATACAAACTATGCAGTTATACAAAAATAGTATGCTGAACAATATTTTTCGTCATATTGCAACATTATTTAAGCAAACTAAGTTACAAGACGAAAATACTTCCCATGTAAAGATAGCCTCTCAGAACAACTTCTAACTTGTTTTTAATTTTGCTAATCCAAATAAGCAGCTAAAGTTATTATTCAGCTAGCTTAGTTGTTATTCAGTTAGTGATTCAATCATTTCATCTATTACGATTGTGTTATTATACATTATACTATCGATATGTTGAACTATTGATAAGAATGCCCGATAACTGATTAAATCAATCGATACCTAATGTCTATTTATTATTTTCGTGTAAACAATATGACGCTCTTCGTAAGAAGAAAGAAAACCGTCCTTTTACAGCCAGATGATGGTGCCACACAGGCACCGAAATTAGTTGTTTTTACAACAACGTTGGATTGCTTAATAGCA